GTGAGAGACACTTCATTAACTTAGTATATAACATGCCAAGATATTGTATGCTCCTGTGAGAATATAATGTACATTTGCTCCTTTTAATAAAAGCCGCGTAGGAATATTTTTTGGATTTTGAATGTCGGGGATATGATTTCTTCAACCTATTGACTAAACTCAATAAATCATTATCATCAAAGTCTTTTTACGATGGATAGCTATACGAATCATGGTTTGCCATTATGCTCTATTAAGGGTCATACCCCATATCTCTTCTCACTACTTCCAACCGTATCATTTTCGGCCTACCCCTTGCTATTTTTTAGTCTTATAATTGAACTAACTCGTATCTCCTGACAGGTAACTGCCCACCTAAGTCTACGTTCTCTCATTTGATTGTCTATTGGTGTCACACCTAAATTTTTCTGAATTGATTCATTTCGAATTCTACCCCTTATTGTCTTGCCATTCACCCATATCAATATCATGATATCTGCTACAATTGTTCTATGGGTATATTATTTTTTGATCGTCTAACATTCCGCTCCATAGAGCAAAGTTGGTCTTACAACTGTCCTATAGAACTTGCCATTCAGTTGCTACGCAGCGATCACATAAAATTTCAGTTGCACATTTTCACTTCATCCACGCAACTTTAATTTTGTGCACGACATCTTTCTCAATCTCTCTATTTTATTGGATTATCGATCCAAGATATCGAAAGTGTGATCTTTTTAGTATTTTATGGCCTTCAGTATTGACTACTTTTTTGTATTTACTCCTATTATTACTAAATTTACATTCCATATACTCTATGTTAGTTTGGCCAATTTTAAAACATTTAGATTTTGGAGCATCCCTCCAAAGTTCACCAAACTCAATAAATTGCAAAATTTATAATAAAGACTAAAATATCTATTTTCTAAAGGGAGCAAATGTATAATGTGCTCTTGTAGAGTACGGTATAAGCCCTCATGTAATATATTGGAGTTTTATTTTAGTCATATCTATTTTTCAGGGGTATTTTATATAAGGTGGCAAGCTAGGAATAAAAGTTGTGATATTCTACTGTTGATTTTAATTTGACGGTGTAGGTTTGACACGTTATTTTAAATAATATAAAATAGTAGAACGTCTTTTGAGTTAGTATCAAAATTACACCGTCTAAATCAAATAAAATAGATGTTGTGGACTAGTGCAATCTTACTTATACAGGTAAGTTTGCAACCTTATATAAATGTTTTCATCCCTCTTTTCTTTAATATATAATATTTCCTGTATAATAATAGAGGAAATATTTGAGTATGCCACTGATTCAAAGTTGTCCAACTAGATCAACACAAGACTTGTTATTGAAATATTATGGAATTAATTGGATTTGTGGAAGACCACTTACCTATCTCTAGGTTTGAGGATTGCTCTGATAAGGTAAACTATCTCAAATCTCCCAATGTACTACATGTCTCTCTTTATGATGCCAAAACAACTTGTTATGACATTGTAAAACTTAATGAGACCATTTCATCTTGTAAAATAGGATAAAGAATATGCACCAACAAGGAGCGGTGGCTTAGGCATCAGAAGACTCATATTGATGAATACTGCACTCCTCACCTAGTGGTATTGGAGAAGCTCTAAAGACACTATGCAATTATGGAGGTAAGTACTCACCAACAAGTATGGAATGGATTTGAAATTGTCTACAATTTGTAGCCATGGTCAAAGATCGAGCTTCTTTCCAATACGGAGGGCAAGATATCACTGTAAAGCTTTGTTCCGCCGGAGCTATAGTGTGTCTACTTGGAGAGAAAATAAAAGTAATTTATGAGTTCGTCTAAAAAAGGGTGAGGACTAGGATTCATGTAGCCGATTTTAAATAGTTAAAAAAAGACTATGACGATGATAATGTGATGAGTGTACTGGAGACTAACCCCTAACGATGGCATTTTTTGAGATGTTTGTTAACGTAGGACATCTCTTAACCAATACGAGTAGTGCGGTGACAAGAGAAAGGAGTGAATCACATTGGTCTATTTTAATGTAGGTAGAAATGGGCATTGGACCAGCCAATTCACAGATCAATACACCAGCCTACTGGGACTCCTGCAACAAGTTTATCAATCCCCATAGAGAGAAGATCAAGTTAGTTGGGAAGTGACACGTCTAGAGAATTGTTGGTTAGCTTCCTCGATGAATTGTTAAGCCCAGGCAGACAAACAATGTTATTGAAGATGCGGATTCTCCCTGTCCCACACAAAATGGAGCCATTTGCATGGTTCCCAGAGAAAAGATAGATTCCTCACAATAGACAATTTGAGGTGAAGCGACCTCATTCTCCTTAATATATGCTTAACATGCAAAATTCCGGAGGAATCTTGCGACTACTTAGTTATACATTTGTGAGAGAAATCTGGTTCTGGGCATTGAAAAGATTTGGTTCACAATGGCTAATTTCTCGAAAGGTAACCCATCTCTCCTAAAATGACTAACATCACATTCATCAAAGATTCGGAGCATCCAATAGAAAGCTCCGGTGAGTGTTATATTGTGGAGGGTTTGGAAGGAAAGAAATATGAGAACTCTTGAAGGTAAGATAATATATAATACTACATTAAAAGGCAAACATATTGGGTATTGCTACAAAAGGTGCTTCAACGAACAAAGAATATAATTGGATGGTGTAGAGTGTCGCACCCCAAGAATTTACAATACTGATATTCCTTAGATGTGACAGTCAAACACATATATACATTTCTTGATAGGACAAATTTACAGTGGAGAATTATTACAAAGTAACAAAAGAAAGTTTAAGCACAACTACAAATATCTTCCAAAGTTGATCTTGACGAGCACTCAAAATGAAACTGCAGTTATCCTGAAAAAAAATGTTTACTATAGTTTGATGAGTTTGGCTACTTAGTAAGTGATCATCGTAATCCTAAAAATAATCATGATTGAAAGATATTAATATTTTCAAAAAGGAGATATATTAACAGAAATGCATTAACAGTTTCACTTTTAAAAATGCATAATTAAGTATAATTCGAATAATTGAAATGCATATAACATTTTTAACGGCAGTGCATAATTCAAAGGATTTCACAAATTACCCTACTGGCGTCCCACGTAGGTCACGTATATACCCCATCAACGTCCTGATGGGTCCACTTAATCCCCATCGGCGTCCCAGGTAGATTTACTTAATCCATGCAAGTCCACTTATACCTCACCGACGTATCGGATGAGTCTACTTAATCCCTACCGGTGTACCGGATAGGTCCACTTATTCCTCACCGGCAAATCGGATGAGTCCACTTGCATACTAAAAGTGTTGCTAAATCTCTTTAAACATTCGAAAGCAGCAATATCATGTACTTAGCATATCACTTAAATTATTAATATGAATTTCACTGAAACCATTAATAACAGTCACTTTCAATAGCATTTCTAAAATAACCAGTCAAATATTTTGCGCTCAAATGAAGAAAGGTAGCAGTTCGTAAAGACATTATAACATAATTGCCAATCTAATATGTATAGAAAAACTGTTATAGAAATTCAAGAATACACAATTATTACAATTTATGGGATGCCAATTTGTAAATAAATATTTAACAGATAATGCTATAATCAAATGTAAAAATATCAGTTTTCAAATCATAAGGCAGTCATTTGCACATGAATTTTACAATGTCTAAATATTCAAAAACAGTAGAAAGAAAACTCACAATTTTACTAAAAGCAGAAATATCGCATTTATTTCTAATAATTTTACAGTATCTAAAATTTTCTAACATAAATAAAATATCACAATTTTTATAAAAAGATTTTTTTTTAAAACAATGAGGTCGTTTGCGCATAAAATTTATCGCGTCTAAAATTCATGATAATAAGCAAAAGTAATTATTTCATTTTATTTTTAAAAATAATGGATTATTTTTTGAGACAATTAGGTCATTTACATTAACTCCGAAATTGGAGGAGTATCAGTTCCATCCCACATAAAAACATCGGTACTTTCTCCATAGACTCGATGTGAATGAAGAATCTTTTCAAGAGAAAGAAATCATATAAAATCAACTTAACAGGGATTGTGACTTTATACAAATCGTCTGTTTGTAATAGGCTATTGTGGCCCAACAGCGGCTCAAAAGCAAAAGGTAGATTTTAAGGGATGCAAAACAAAATTCGCAAAGGAATGAAATTTAGAAGAGAAACTTGGACGAGATGCAAATTAAATTTGAAAGAGAAACTTGGACGAGATGTAAATTTTGCTGTGCTAGAATAAATGAGATGGATAATGATTTGTGAAAATTTGGAGGAAAAACTTTACGTAGAGGATTTTTGCTACACATCATGCAAGCTTTGCTGTATGGGAAGGACATACAATTCGGTTCAGAAACTTGGACGGGATCAATGAGAACGGAATTTGCAAAGAAGGTTCACAAATATGAAATTTGAAAACAGGAAATCTAATGGAAGGGAGAGTTTAGTGTTTCCAGCCACAGAGAGAGAGATTGGCGAATGACGTGGAAACACCTGAGATGCGTACTCCTGTGTTAACATAAAGTTTTAATGTGGTGGACTTAAGGTTCACTTAAATAAAAATTGAACCCTCAAGTATATTAATAATAATATTGTTTATTTATTGTTAAAATAAAAATAGCAATATCTTAACGGTATAAAATTATTATTATTATTATCATTACTAATATATAATTTTTATTTTATTTATTTCTGTTAACACTATTAATATTATTATTATTATTATTTTTGTTCCGAAAGTTTTAGGTCGTCACATAGAGATAAATATAACTTTATAGATTAATGACACTATGAGACCCTCCCACATCCATGAGAGCAGAACCCCAAAAGATAATCATTAAGTTTTGACATAGATCTCTATAAAAGTTATCACATGGATGTGATTTGGGTGAATGAGTCTATTGATAACTTTTATAGAGATTTATGTCAAAATTTAATGATGATCATTTGAAGTTCTACTCACATGAATGTGGGAGGGTCTCGTAGTATCATTACTCAACTTTATATGACGAATAATTCCAATAACATATAAAAGTAGAGAGAGCATTAAAAAAAATTAGACTAATTTTGGACATTCTACTTATGGGTGACATTACTAAAAAACATAAATTATTATTTGGCATGCCCGACAGCAAAGCACAATAATGTGCATTAACTCCCTTGGGCAAAAGAGATACTTTAGGATGTTTTTTTACTTGAATTTTTCATTTGGATCAACTAAGAATTACTAAATGATTATTTTATAATATGAACAAATTATAGATTCTTCAATACTTTGAACCAGCCATTTAAAAGTAAGTCTATCCTTGTTCAATTTTGGGACATTTTTCCAAAGCTCATATAATATGCAATTTGAAAATTTATTTTCTCAGCTTGGTCGCCGCACCCAAGAGTTTATATCCTGCCCTGCTCGAGATTAACATGAGGGCGTAAATAGGCAGTATGCTCCCGCTGGAGCAGTATCACCTTTGGGACGCCAAAAGCCTGAAAAAGCGAAAGCTAATCAGCTCGCGCCACAACGCGGGAAAACTTCCCGCAAAGGTTGAGAGAAGTTTCTTCTGTCTCAGATTACGCCACCAATGCCCTCTTTAAGAATTCCCATTCTCTCACCTCTCACTATTCGGGTTCGCCCTTTCTCTCTCCTCTCATTCTCACGAAGAACCTGCAAAAGGATGTTTTCTTCACTCGACTCTCGAAATCAAACTATAACCCCACTTTCAAGCACCATCGAGCTTTGTGGAAAACCAGTCCAGATAGTTGCAGGCAATGGGCTCTCTGAGTCCGATTTCAGGCAATTCATTATTTGTAATCTGGGGTTTTTCCTTGTCCAAATCATTATGCTTTTTTGGGTTGGCGTTGTTTGGATAATTGTGAATTTGTGGTTGATTTTTCAGGAATGCTATTGATTCCTTTCTGTTCAAGAAGTGGTTGAGGGATTTGCAGAGTGAATCGGGGATTTTGGCGCTTGGACATTTCACTCTGAAGCATGTGTTAATTCAGGTACATTGTTCTTTTTTTTTTTTTAAAAAAAAATCTGGGTTTTGCTTATTTGGCGGAGATTAGGTTAGAATGTTAGTTAATCTAAATTCTGAAGTTTACATTCATATAGTTGTTCTTAGACTATCACATGGTTCCTTGTATTATTATTTCGAATATTGGATGAATTTTCCTTGTACCATTATTTTGGAATATTAGATGAATGTTTGCCCAATTTTGGTTTTGATCCCTAACTGTGATTGAAATGGGGGAGATGCTAATTGGCGTGATGTCCAAATATATGCTAATGTACAGTTATTTTTATTTTTTATTTCTTTTTGATTAGTAATATACAACCGAATTTGTTTGTTTATTTTCCTGCTCTGGCTGAAAACTGGATCGAATCAGCATTCACTTTGGGCAAAATTTGGCATCCATTGGGCAGCGATTTTACTTTTTTTTAACAAAGGTAATGAGGGAAGAAATGATGAAATTTTGACTGAATTTTGTATGGAAATCCTATAAAATAAGGTCCAGTTGTCAAATTTGATTCAAGCTGGTCCTGAAGGTTGCTCGTTCATTTGAAATGAATTTTACTCCATTCATTGATAATTCAATAGCATAGGAATTCACCCTGGATTTTGAGTGAAATCTGTATTTGGCTTATTGTGCCAAGTTACAGGCAGTGTTCAAAAACTTGACCGAGTCCGAGTGGACCTGCCCAAGTTACTTGGCCTCGGCTAGTAGCCAAAGTGAGTTCCATGTACCCACTTGGGTGCATAAGAACTTGTAGAATATTCCCACGAGTTACAGTAATAAGGCGAGTCCGTATAGTACACGCCCAAGTATTGTTAATGGAAAAAAGGGGGACACGGATCGTATATCATCTCTCTCTCTCTAAGATGGGGGCCAGAAATCTGAGCATTCTTTCATCTCTCTCTCTAAAGGTGGGTAGAAATCTTCCCCCCTTTTTATGGCAGAAATTTACCCCCCTTTTCCGTCTCTCTCTTTAGTAAGGGTGCAGGAATCTGCCCTCATTTCCATTTCTCTCTCTCTCTCTCTAAGAATTTACTACTTTTTCTTTTATTTTAACAGAAAAATTCTATTGTTTTTCAAATTTTATCCCTTTTTGGGCTGCTCAAATACTACTTGGGCGAGTCCACAAGGACTTGCTTGAGTTATTTGGCTCGGGCAGGGTTTGAGTTCCTAGCCAGAATAAAATATTAAAACCTTGGTTATGAGAACCAAAATTTTGATTTTTTTTGCATAAATTGGTTATATAAATAATTTATTTGCTTGTTTAGAGGTCCACCCACTCTAGGACTGTCATATGTTGATTGGATGTCCTGTGTTAGTGATTGATAACACCATATGATCATTTTTGAAATGTTATTTTACCAGTTCTTGATTGGATATTATGGTTATCTTTTGTTTATTGCAGTTGTTGTTATCCTGATTCCAAAGAAAAAGAATCAAATTGGATCGTTTAAGGTCTTTAACCTTATGGCTGCTCATTTATGCCGTAAAATATGAGCCTTTTGTGTCTGAAACTTCTTCCTTGAAATATGGGCATTTTCAATCCTGTGACTGCTTTACTGTGCATTTCGTGTTTCAAATTTGATTTTCTTTTTCCCCTTATTTATGGTAATACTCAATGAATCTTTTCTTGCATTCATATTGGCATTTAATCACTAGTAATGCTTACATGGGGGGCATATGCAATGAATAGGATAGAGAATATTTGTTACCATTTGTAAATTACATTTGTAAATAACCACTGTTTCCTAAAGCTGTTAAGCAAAGTCGTGAATGATCAATCTAGATAATTCTAGGTTTCCTAGTTTCGTGTTTGGCTGAAGAGCATGGTAATGTGTGCCAAATGTTAGTTATTTGCTTGTTTTATACTATTCTTAAATGCTCTTCTAGTTTATTTTTTCCATTCAGAAAAGGCCTTAAATTTTGGGCTGTTTATTAATGTTATTTAATCCTTGCCTTTTTTCTTTTTCTCATTTCTTTGATGACCTAATTATATGGTTGAGTCTTTGTAGTTTGAATCACCAATTTACAGTTTAACGCCCAAAGTCAGTATTTAGTTGTACTATTGTAGCTATTTTAGTTGTACTGTTGTAATTATATTGTTGCAAAGGCTCTGTAATGCAAGCCCAACTCTTATTAATATTGTAAGTCATATATTGTTCCATAACATTTTTCACTGTAACTGATTACCCTTCATAGAATGATATGTTCGCATGCTTTGCTAAAGAACAGTTGGGAGTTTAAGACTTCTATGGGAATGGAAATGTCTTTTACTTCTTAAACAGGGTGTGGACATGTTCGGTAGACGTGTCGGCTTTCTTAAGTTCAAAGCTGAGATTGGGGACGATTATTCCGGAAAGAAGGTATTACCTGAAGTTCTTTGTTGAATCTTGTGACTGTTTGTCTTCCATCATCACAAAGAGCTTTTTTTTACCAACTCAGTCATAGAATCGAGCTGTATTGAAGTATTTTGATGTTTTGGAATTTACTATGCTCCAATAATGAACCAAGTTACGTTCAAGGGAATAATTTACTTCTGTGTGATTCATGGGGTTTAGTTTGCTTATAATATATCGTGTTTTATATGTGGATTACTTTCTTTTTTTTATTCTGGTGTGCCATTCTGGTGTGCCATTCAGCTTTTAATATATTATTACTTTGTTGCATATCCCTTAATTGACATGCCATGGTCGATATAGGATAGCTTAATCATTCCTGAAAGTACTGACTTCTAAGCATATTATTGTGGTATGCCTTGGCATTTTACCGAGTTCATGCACTGGTTAATTGTGATCTAAGCATTGCTGGTTAATTGTGATCTAAGTATTGTTCGCAAAGTCGAATCGGATCGCTTAACCGGACATGGGGCCGGAAGCGGTTTAACCGGCCTAACCGGTCAACCAGCCGATTCAACCGTTCTAACCGGGTAAGTCCTAGGCGGTTAAAAAATTGTTGAAAAAAAGACAACAAAAAACTATTAAAATATGAAAAGCATATAAAGAATGATTAAAACAAAATTCATTCAAATGAAGATGAAAATTGATGAAAAAAAAGGATTTTAAAGAATCGATTTGTGCCAAGGGACATTTTTAAAATTTTTCGAAAAAGATGAGAAAATATAAAAGTGAGTATTAATGACCAAAACAATTTCTAATCTTTACCATAATGTAAAGAATAAAAAACATATTACAAACCAAGTTCCTTATTTTTGGGATTTTATATAATTTTTGTTGATTTTTTTTGATACCTGCCGATCACTAAAACCACTTGAAACCGGGCGGTTACCGGTTAGATCGCCCGGTTTTTCCAACATGGGATCTGAGTCTTCTTCATTTTCTGAATGTATTTCATGTAGGACACTGCTTGTTCTAGGTAACTGAAGGAGAGTCACTTCTGTAGCTTCTGGTTATCGTTTAAACTAATATATATTTTCTTGAAATGCTATTCTTGGCAATCTGCTGGAGCCAACGGTAAATTTGGGGGTTCTATCTTAGACCTTGGGTAGCCACTTCAGTTAGACATATTGTGGGCCGCATGACTGTCACTCTCCCCTTGCTTTTGTTTTCTTTAGTTCCTTTCTAATTTATTAATAGCTTTGAAGCATGTGAGCAGTTGGCTCCTTGTGGGTTCTCAATGGAGTTGAATATTCTTTCTATAATTTTCCAATATTCTGATTTAGACTGTTCAAAGAATGCACGAACCATTGCTTTCTATTGCACATGCATTGCATTCCAAATGCATCTTTTTAGTATATATACGTTTTATTTATGATCAGGTTCCTGGTATTGTTTTTGCTCGAGGAGAGGCTGTTGCTATTTTGGTGCTTTTGGAGTTGGAGGGCACAACTTTTGTTGTCCTTACAGAACAGGTAATGCAAGCTATCTTTTGGTAATGCTAATAATAAAACTATAGAAAAAAGAAACATTGCAAAGAGTTGCATGGAAGGGAAAAGACTACAGTCCAATGAACTATGGGAAACTACTGTGATGTGGTCTTCTCATCTGATGAATAGATGGATAGTGATAAAGCGGTAGTGGGACCCACCATTAGGGTGATGTCAGTGGGTCCAACTCTCTCTTCATCACAGTCGGTCATTTCATTGGGGTGGTCACTATCCCAATGCAATAAGTATACTTCCCTTTAATGGAATGCTGAAATAGTTTCAACTCTCTCTTCACAGTCGGTCATTTCATTGGGGTGGTCACTATCCCAATGCAATAAGTATACTTCCCTTTAATGGAATGCTGAGATATTGATGCTCACAAAGTCACAATGTGCATAACTCCAATGGAG